TGAAACTGTAGTCATATGCGCTGACGCCAATAAAGCAAAAGCAATTTATTCAAAATGCTAAACGCACCATCGCTATTAAATTGAGTTCATGTCGCTTCTGTCAATGCAGCGGCAAAAAAATGCAGTTTTGAGTGTATCCGCAGAAACTAGTCTCATTTGGTGACCAAAATATTTACGTCGGATATGTGTGCGTGCGAAACATTAACTTATCGAGCTTGTTCAAGGATCTTAGCACCAATAGAGGTTTCAATGCGTAACCTGGCATAAATGTTTTACGTATGAAACCAGTGGCTTACAATAAACAAGGAATGGTATGCAAGAAATACCTCAGATTATGCTGTTTTAGGCAAGAGTTATGTACACAAAGGAGCGCAATGATATGTGTCAAGATTATTGTGCAAAACGCAAACGTACGCCAGCAGATTATGTGAACCGTATTAACAGCTCTGAAATTTGACAATTGTGACGTTTTCTGACATGTTCGTTTTTTTAAAACCTCTCTTGACTAATTAGCGCAAAAAACTACATCAGAAACACTCCTATTTGCTACGCTTATCAGCCCGGACTTCGAAGATTCTAAACCATTTTCTGTAAATAACTTTTTCACCACTTTTGGGATAGGCACCGCTCATCAATGATCAAGAATTGTCACTTCAGTCATCAGTCGGAAATAAATTTAAAAAAAAACCATTAAGAGAAATGTTACAACTGAAAAATCGACATTCGAATGCTCATTAAAATAGAGAACATAACGCTTATATAACCTGGAGACATTTTTCCAGTTCTTCGATGCGCTGCAGTGAACGGGTGTGCTGCTGTGAAGCAGATGTCAACTCGCGCTGCGTTGACTCGAAGTGCTTCTTCAGCTTCGTGCACTCCTCCTCAGTACTCTCCAGACAACGTTCGACGTCTGCCAGACGCTGCACGGCCTCCAGCTTTTCTTGCAGTACTCTTCGCAGCGATTCCTTTACATAATCGCATATGCGAATTACGAAAAACAACCTACAACATAATAAAATGCTTGCTTACCTTAGCTGTAGTTTCGTATTTCTCCTTCTCGTCAAACAATTGCTTTATCTGCATCCGCAACTCGTCTTCAGAAAGGTTCTGAAAATAATCTTTCATTCTCTTAATCTTAAAAGCTAGCTGCAAAGACGATTGAAAACGCATCGATGGGAATCCAAGAAATTTGGACAAACAATCACTATCGCTGTGCCCTAAGCAAACTTCGCTAGTATGACAAAGTCCAAAAAATATGCAAGGACATCAATTTGTTGCTTCTGTGAATTTCGACCATTCCTTTTCATTTCTTGATTCATGATGCAAAGAAATAAATTACCAGCGTGATGTTAACTTCCCTCAAGCTCAAGATTCAAGCAAATACCAACATATTCGTTTCTGTGCTTCTAAGTTAACATTTAACGTGGTACACAGTTTAGCACTGTACCACCGATTGAGCTTACGGGACAGAGATATAATGTCATAAATATCACTTACATAAAGATGGCTACAGTAAAAAAAAATTGTCAAACAAAATTTATTGAAGCTCATAGTCTGCTTAAGGTCACCTTGAGATCAAATAACCTCATGTTAGCATATAAAACCGATATTAGTTATCTCATTCAAAACTGCATTTTTTCAACGCGAATGGCTATAAGTCTAAAGAAAAATATCCTTCCACCACTTCCGTTTAAATGGTCAACATGCGGAAAATCCGGAGACGAGACACTGCCGAAACGTGTACATTCATGCATTTATCCCCCTGAACGGAGAATGATAATCGTTGTCGTATTTCCTACGAAACCGCATACTGGAGGAATGGCACTATGCTACAAAACGCAACAAAATACAAAATTTTCAGACTACCAAGCTGCAGCGCCATTCAAATGGATACTAAAAGCTTAAACGAATCATCTCTGGAATGATACGTCACACGCTACCATGAAAAGTGGAACTGAGTACACTGCCTATGAAAGAAGTCAGATCGACTGGCGTCACTGTCTAGCATATGCTTACCATAGTAACATAATTGCTGAAGAATACTATTTTGTAGGTTACAACTTTGCTGACCCATGGTTGAGGGCACCAAACAAAAACAACGGTCAGATTTTGAGCGCCTCCTACCAAACTGCAGGCTGCTCCGAACAACCGCTTGCAATTACCTTGGTGTATATACTCAGCTGGCTTTCCAAGATCTCGATTTTTGACAACAAACGGTCTTCATCGATGAGTGCCTGCCAGCAGTTTTCCGACGCTTGCTGCGTCTTCGATACGAGCGTCTGCATGGCCACCAACTTTGATTCGATAACTTGCTGGCGAGTATTCGCCTCCTACAACATAACAGATCATCCATTAACATGTCGAAGCTTCAAAAGCCATCACTTCGTCTCTTTACCGTGATATACTGACGCAGCTGATAGAGTTCCTGGAAGTTTAACGATTCGCAGTAGTTAGACGTCGATGGCGTATCTGGTTCCACCACTCCATCGAATCTACACGACAAGGTATGCAAAGATAAGGAAATAGAACTCGTTTGGTGACGACGCTTACCCCTCACGAAATGCCACCTCCTCGCCGTATGGATGATAGAGATGTACCATGGCGATGATGCAACCATGCGTGGCTGATAATCAAATAGATAAGCGATAAGTCTACAGTGTGTGTAGGTAAAACTAAAACTTACTCTTTGTTGAGTTCTCGACAATATCCACGCCGAACTGAATGATGTCCCCGGAAAAGATTTGCGTAGCTTGACTTTCTTCAGACGCATTCGACAGGCGTGCATTGTTTAGGTATGTACCGTTACTGCTGTTCGTGTCCTTGATGTAAAACTAAATACGGCGCACAAGTACAAATCCACAAATAAAGCGTGCGAAAGCCTGAAGACGATTCTCTCATCAGAAGCCAATATCGTGTCAAACCCAAAAACAATAAGAAAACTAATAAGGGACACATCAGGACCTTAGTCAGGAAAATTTACTTGAAAAGAATTGCATGTTTCTGTTGGTTACACGCGGCAGATAATAAGGTCATAACTTCGTTATATAACATTCTGGACCGCATAAGTGAATGCCTGGTGTCAGACAAAAAAAAAGTTAATTGAAGAAGCATAGCACGGTCGGAATCATTTATATTAATCCAAGGTTTTGGAAGTCAAAATGAGAGAGCGCTCTGCTGCTGCACAACCGATGTGACCATCTCAGCACATTCACAGCGACGATACTCATCAATCGCAGACTGAAAGACTATTCTCAGAATGGACTATCACTGGGGAAAGGATCGATTAAAGTAGTCTTGCAGGTATTCATTAAAGAGGTAGCAAACACTGAACCCATTATCATGAAAGAGAATTTCAACAGAAAAAACAAAAAATAAAGAAAAATAATATAGTAAAAATATAATTGAATATTTAATCGTCTCAATACTGGTGTGATAATAACATAAAAGTGAAGAAGACAAACATCGACG